TTAATTCCAGACTTTTCTTGCCTCTGTATAATCATGTACATATATGTTTTTGAGATCACTCTATATGTATGATCCTGCAACTTGCTTCTTGTTTTAACCTAATATTAAATCCTGAACACATTTTCATTTCACATAGAGCTACGTCCCTCCGTTTCTGTGCTGCGTGATGTTTCATTGTGAGGACGAATCTGTTTACCACTCCAGCCAGTCCCCTTTGATGGGCATTTCGGTCGCTTCCAGGATTACGCTTTTACAATAGCGCAAGTGTAATACTAGCTTTTAAGTCCGAAAGCCTGGAGCACCCTAAAAAACACAAAAGGTGAAAATATTCCGGTCGTCTCTTCTGTACCTTTATGCTTTCCTGTATACCTCAAATTTTCTTAAAGAATACACGTCACATAACTTGGAAGGGAAAAACTAAATTATAACCAAATTTTCATTTAAAAACTTTTTTAAAAAAATAGAAAGTGTGGGGAAAAGAAACAAACAAACAAACAAAAACAGACGGGGTAGTCCCGGCCCCCTCCCACGAAGGCGGGGCCGGGAGAACGAAGGGGCGGGCCTCCAGGGTCCGCACCAATCAGAGCCGGGTTGGTAGGCAGACCCAGGAGCCTGAGGAGACAAGCCCCGCCCCCAAAGCCTCCTCCGGGGTTAGCTTTTCCAGCGCCTGGAAACCAGCTAGGGTCCGGCCTGCGCCGCTGCGGGCCGCTATTGGCTGCGGGCAGCCCCGCCCCTCCCGGGCGGCTTACGTAAGAGGAGCCTGTTGCTGAGCAAAAACAAGTGGTGCAGCCTTTCCTCCGGAGAGACATCACCAAGAGGGGGGCGGGGGTTCGGGGGTGAGAATTGGGGACATCTGTAATAGTGTCAACAATGAGAGAGAGAGAGAGAGAGAGAGAGAGAGAGAGAGAGAGAGAGAGAGAGAGAGAGGCTGCCAATGTACTGGGAGCCTTTGGGTGAAAAAAGCAAGTTTATGTATTCAGTTCCTGCTCCTTGCCAGGCTCCGTGCCTCAAACTCTTCCATATTAATGGTTATAATCACCTTTCTTGAACACCCACTGTCGTCCCGCACTAAGTTAGGTCCTTTCAAATAACAGCAACAATATAAATAATCATAATCATAATTAGTTTATTGAGCACTTGATCTGCATCAAGCCTTGTTAAGGGATTTGTGTGCATTAGCGCTCATCCTCACAGCAGCCCCAGTGGATTGCCCCATTTTACACAGGAAACACGTTCCGAGAGGTGATGTGACTTCCGCAGGTTCACACAGCTAAAAACCTTCAGCTCTGATATCCTAATTCAAGTGCAACTTTTTTTGGGGGAGGGGAGGATCTTAAAGGTAGGAAGAGGTGGGCTGGGAAGGGTGGTGGGAGCCAGGGGCATTGCTCCAGGGACAGCCTCGGGGTGTGTGAGAAGGGGATGGAGGTCCTCTAGAGGTGGAGAGGGGGAAATAGAGGAAGACGCGGGAACAAAGAGAATTGTTCTTCCAGGAAAGGTGCCACTCCTGGGGCAGCCTTTATCCGTGGCCCTAGACTTGGGGGTCTGGAGCCCAAGGTTCTAGTCTGCATTTTGTGACCAGCTTTCTGAGGACCTTGAACTGGACCTCAGGAAATGCAGGAGTAAGCCAAAACAATGGGAAGTGCATTCAGGCTGGAAGGTCCCTGAGGACTCTGGTCTGGTCCCTCCTGGAAGCAGGGAACCTTCAGCATCCACACCATCTTCACTTAGCTGTGGCCTGGCCACTTTTCGGGACCTGCAGGCTGTGATATGGGACCTGACAATCCTATAAACTCAAAGCGGTTTGGGGCACCTCAAGCCGCTCTTCTTTCCAGTTCTGAGCTTAGCACGGTCCTGCCTGCAGGGGGCGCTAAGGACTCATTCAGCCGACAAAGCCAACCTAAATTCATAGTGAATTATCCAAAGCACCCAGCTGGTCGGTTTTTGTATTTGATTTGTTTTGTTTTGTTTTTATTAAGAGGGGTGAGTTTTGTTTTGTTTTGTTTTGTTTTTTGAAACCCGGTTTCTGTCCCCAGTATATAATCAATTAAACCAAATTCTATGCATTGCCCAGTCCTCTCCACAGTGGCTCTAGGGGGTTAGAGCTCATTTCCAATTCCTTTGTTTTACAGATGAGAAAACAGGTTCTAAGAGCTGGAAAAAAGAATTCTCTTTCAGTCATACAGCTAAAAACCAGGATTCCTGGGGCAGTGCTCTTAAGAGATAGTTGGCTCTGGTTCAGAGAGTCTGTTTGTTCTGCCTCCCGGAGCACAACTCCAGGGGACGATTTCAATTTTAATTGTGTAGCTCCTCAGCTCAGCACCTGTCAGCGCAGGAGGACCTCCCTCAGCATCTACCACAGTGCCTGCTTAATGAGTGATTGAATGGCTGAATGTGTGAATGAGCCACAGAGGGTTAGTCTGCTCTGGCTTTATTAAACCTGTAGGAGTTGGGCTTTTTTCCCCCTGAAAGCTCCCCCAAGGCAGGAATTGTATTCTGAGAGGGTAGGGGGAAGGGTGTTGAGAACAACAGAGAAGAGCTTAGAAAATTACATATGGGTGATAAATCAGAGCCCCAGGTATAGTCAGAGACAAAGTCATTATAGCAAAGCGACCCCATAATTTGGGATTATAAAATTAATTCAGAAAGAATGAACACAAAACAGAAGAGACTTCCATTAGAGTTAAAATCCGAGAAAGGGTCTGAAGCAGAGGAAACAAAAACCATTTCAAATGCAATGTAGACGCAGCTTCAGGACTGGAATGTGATTGAGGAATAATAATAAAAGCTTTGGTCAATGAGTGGCCTCAGCATGGCTGATGCAAGAGGACAGAAAGTATGGCAACAGAAAGTAGAGGTCCTTACTGAACCAAAAATATTAGTCATGCCCTAACCAGTTTGGCTCGGTGGATAGAGCGTCATCCTGCAGACTGAAAGGTCCCAGGTTTGATTCTGATCAAGGGCATGTACCTTGGTTGTGGGCACATCCGAGTAGGGGGTGTGCAGGAGGCAGCTGATCGATGTTTCTCTCTCATCGATGTTTCTAACTATCTCCTTTTCTCTCTGTAAAAAAAATCAATAAAATATATTTAGGGGGGAAAATACTAGTCATAGGGGAGGGAGGAATAAACTCAGCCATGGGGAGCAGGCCTAAGCCAGCAGTCAGACATCATGAGCATTGCCACAGAGATGGGAGAGGCTCTTGCTACTGCCGCTGGCATTCCAGCTGTGAGCCTGGCTTCTGGCTGAGCAGCGCTCCCCCTGTGAGAGCACACTGACCACCAGGGGGCAGCTCCTGTGCTGAGGGTCTGCCCCCTGGTGGTCATTGTGCATCATAGCAACCAGTCCTTCAGCCTTCGGTCAATTTGCATATTAGCTTTTTAATAGGACATATTAAAAATAACTAAATAAATAAGCTCTGGCACAGCCTGGTAGAGTCAAAAGAAGATATTATAGTACCCTGGTGCTAAGTTTTACCTTTCTAAGTAAAGTTTCAAAAGTGGTCAATAACATATTCCCTTTTAAAAGTGGTCAATAACATATTCCATTGTTTGTCAGAGAGAAGCTGCATCATGTTGAAGACCAGTGGTATAAAGAGGTAGAAACAATGTGTTGAGGAGTGGGAGAGAGGACTCTGAGCTGAGCTGAAGAAGCAATGCTTTCGCTAGGAAGTGGCGTTTCAAAGCCTTCTCTCAGGCCACAAACATGAATGAAGACACTGAATGCTGGGTAGGATTTCAGTAGGCAGAGATTTGCAGAGGGAACTTCTGGAAGAAAGGCTTGAAGGCCAGAACATCAGGCTAGGTGGCATGTGGCAGAAGACGAAGATGTGGGACCCTATCTTCAAATAACTCAGAATCCAAAGGGTCAGATAAGACCTGCCCACAGAAAATTATAATACAAGGTAGAAAGTGACGGGTCTTATAAAGGAGATCCAAATCTCAAGTGCCCTGGGTGAGATTAATTTCCTTCTCCCAAGAAGTTGGAGGCAGTAGACCAAGCCATACGGGGCATCTTTGGAATCAGAAGCCTAGACTCCGAAGTCCCAGAGGGGACCTTGTAGGTCATTTAGTCCACTTGCTCCAGCCATGATTCTCTATTCAGAGTAAACAATGGCTTTAAAATTGAAACAAAAAGTGGATCTCTGAAGAAACACTGTGAAGGAAGAGAATCTGTGGGAAGGGTACGGAAGATTCAATCAGCTTACAGGTGCTGAGGGGCTGGTGGAAGAGACTTTCTCCCAAAGGGAGAGTTGAAGGCCGGGAAAGGAATGAGATCAAGGACGGAGACTATGTCTGGATAGATGAGGGATACAAACAAACTAGGGAAGCATCCATGTTCCAGGGGTGGGAGGATAAAGGGGGCCAGAGAGGTGAGAAAAGATCCAGTGGACCGCCTTATTAGAAAGTTTCTAGAAACGGATGGCAGGGATGAAAAAAGGACCCGAGACTCAAAGGAGCAGTAGGGAGAGACACCTGCAGCAATAGGGACTAAGTTGGACTGGGCGGTTGTTGCCAAGGACATTTCAAAGAAGGAAGGCTTTCCCAGAGACCCTACAAATAAGGTGGATTCTCTGTGTCTGATACATTTTAAGGGCGGAGTCCTCCCGGAGACCAGGGGTACAGGGGTGTGTGCCCAGATCTGGCTCTACAATTAGCACCACCTCTCCTGAACCCTAAACCAGTCCCTCCAGGAACTGAAAAGCTACAGAACGTACTTGGGAGGGATTTCACACCTGGCTCCACGGCCCAGCCCGGTGAAGTCCCGTTTCATCATGCAGCTCGTAATGACTCTCCGGGCCGTCACTCTCGTCCGGCATTGAGTCAACAATCTGACTAAAATCCCTTTGGCAAAAGTTTGCAGCATTCGTGGTGCCGGGCTGACTACAGCTCCCAGAGTTCCCGGGCGCTGCCCGGCGCGGATTGGCTGGGCCACTGGCTCCTGAGGAGGGTGTCGCCCCGCCCCCCTAGGAAACAGGCCCCTGATTGGCTGCGGCGCGGGGCTCCTGTGTCCCCGCCCTCCGCCGGGGACCGCAGCGGCGCCGCCGGTGTCAGAGCGGCGCAGGCTGGCAGTTCCGCGGCGGGGATGCCGAGCAGCGCCGCGTCCGCCGGCAGCGCTCGCCACTGCGGACCTGAGGGGCGCCCCGGGCCGTGAGACACAGCGCGCCGCGGCCAGTCCCGGGCTTCCGAGCCCGCCCGCCCGCCCTCCGGGAGCCGGACGCCAGGCGAGTGCAGCGAGGCAGCGGCCGTTCCTGGACTCTGAGAGGGAGAGGCACCCCGGCTTCTAGAACCTCCCCTGCGGCCCCCGGTCCCGGCTTCCTGAGGGCGTCCGGCCGCCACCCCCTCCGGCGCCCGGGTCGGTGCCCGGGTCGGCGCCCGGGTCGGCGGCCCGTTGCGGCCGGGTCCTGGCGCACACCATGATCGTCGCGGACTCGGAGTGCCGCCCGGAGCTGCAGGGCTACCTGCCGTTCTCCCGGGGCGGCGGCGGCGGCGGCGGCAGCAGCAGCAGCAGCAGCAGCAGCCCGGGGGCCGGGGAGGTAAGCAGCGGCCGCGCCACTTTTCCCTCGAACCCCGAGCCTCGTCCGAGCTCCGGGCTCGCCTGGGCTGAGCCGGTGCGCAGCCCCCGCCCCCCTCCGCCCCCCCGTTTCCTCCGCCCCCGGCTCGGGAAGGGGGAGTGCAGCGCGTAAACCCCGAGCGGGGTTGCATCAACTGGCAGCCTCGACCCTCTCCGCCCCTCCCCTCCCCCCGGGCGTGCGGAGCCCTCGGCCCCCGCGGATCCCGGCCAATGAGCGGAGAGAGAGCCTTCTCCAGCGGCCTGGGGTTTGGGCTCGGGCCGTGGGAGTCGTCAAGTCCGGGCAAATCTCCGCCGCGGCGGCCCGACCCTCCTCCTCCCCCCCCACTCCTCCCGGAGGCTCCGGTCCCCGGGCCGGCGGGCGGGCGGGCGGGCGGGCGGCTCCTTCTAGGTGGGATGCGTCCCCGCTCCCGTCCCCCCGCCTCCCCCACCTGCACCCCAGTTTGGGAGGGGGCGCCGTTGCTTCCGGGCCTTGGCCGGCTCCCGGGGACGCGGCGGCGGCCAGAGCTCTGGGGAGAAGGGAGCACCCCGGCCACAGCTCCCACATCCAGCGCGGACTGGGCTGTGCTCTGCCGAGTGGTCTGAGGTCTCAGAAGTTTGCTTCGCAGGGACCCCCTTTGCAGGGAGGCTGGGACTGAGGCTGGGCCTCCTCTGACAATTCGCCTCCCCTAGGCCCCCACCCCCCACCCCCACCGTCACCACCGCCATCGATAATGGATAGATATCATCGTATAAAGCACCCATTAGATTCCAGGCTCGGGTTTTGCCTTTTCTCGGAGTCCTCCGGACTAAACTAGCAAAATACTAGGATGAGCTACATACACTGCAGTCCCATTTTACAGGAGGAGAAATCGAGGTCCAGGAGGGAGGATGGAGACGCTCTCTTCACTACCAGCCCAGAGGAGCTCATGTATTTTGTTTGGCCCGGGCGCCTCTAGGATTTCCGAACGTGCTTGGCACTGCAGGGAGCTTTGTTTGTTTCTTCGGTTTTCTGGCCTGGAGAGTGGCACCAGGGGTCACTGCGGCTGGGAGCCAGGCACTTGCTCGTACTAAACGGCCATCCTGGGCAAACGGCGGGGCCCCTCTGAGCATCGTGGTGTCTGGGGAGGTCCTGCCTCCAGCAGTGGATGGGTGTGCCCTGCGGTTTCCGTGACTCTGTTTACCCTTCCCCATCGTGGTTTAGGAGCCACAGGTGGGGGAATAAAACCTGCTTCTGCCCATTCTCAGCTGTGTGACTTTGACCAAGCCACTCCACTCTGAGTCTGCTCCCTTCTTTGTGAGAAAATGGAAATACAGCCCGGCGGGCAGGGCCCCGTAGTTGTGCATCCACCTATGAACCAGGAGGTCGCAGTTTGATTCCCGGTCAGGGCACATGCCTGGTATCAATGATTCTCTCTCATCATTGATGCTTCTGTCTCTCTCTCCCTTTCCCTTCCTCTCTGAAATAAAAAAATATATATATTTTTAAAAATGGAAATACAGTTAAATCCTAATTTAACATGGTCTGTAGGTTCTATGACTATGCAAAAATGATGCATAAGGAACCTAACCTTACCATAGGCTAATTGGTAACAATGTTGAATGAAACAATGTTATTTAAGAACCTGGTGTAATTTTTTTTTTTAAGATCTTTTCATTGATTTTTTTAAGGAGAAAGAGAAACATCATTGGTTGCCTTCTGTATGTGCCCTGACAAGATCAAACCCGCAACCCAGGTATGTGCTCTGACTAGGAATCAACCGGCAACCTTTCAGTGCACAGGACGATGCTCAACCTACTGAGCCACACCGGCCAGGCTGTGGTATTTATTAAGAGCACCTAGCCCGGCCAGGCTGGCTCGATTGGTTGAGCACATTCCTTCCTGGGTGGCAGGTTCGATCTCAGGTCAGGGCCTGTATGGAAGGCAACCGATCGATTTTTCCCTCCCTCTCTCTAAGCATATCCTCAGGTGAGGCTTAGCAATAGTAATAATAACAATAAGAGCACCTGGGCAGAGCTCTGAGTTCAAGGACTGGCCCTCCCACTCACTTGCTGTGTGAACGTGGCCAAGTGATCACTCCTCAGACCTGCATCTTCCTTTCAGATCCAATAGCATCTCCGAGGGACTGTTGGGAGAATTGACTGAGAATACAAAGGCCAAAGCACAATACCTGGAACACAGCAACCTTGTCAGAAACGCTGGCTCTTGTAGGATGTGGCCATCATCCGTTCATATCTCTTCCCCAGAGTCTCACAGGGTGTGCTGAGGAGAGTTGGTCCCTGCCTCTTGGGGACCGTGCCTGGGAAGCGGTCTGGGCAAGCTGTGAGGGAGTGGCCCTTCGATGGAAGAAGCCACAGGTCTGAGAGGGCAAGTGGGTGATGTCTGAACCCTCTACATATTTTCTCTTAAAGAGGACCTTGGGAGGATGTCTGCATTAAGAGGGCTCCTTAGAAGACAGCAAGTGCGGAACTTACAAAGCCTGGAAGCCGAGGTCCAAGGGAAGACCCACCTGTATGGGCCCCTCAGCCACCATCACTTCACACACCCTTTCAAGTATTGTCAGTATGTGCTCAGGGCTCTGATTAGGCTCAAGAATCACTTCCTCAAACATCATGTCCGCAGGGACGCCTCCCCCCTCAATAGATAAGGCCCCTCTGCATATCCTCTCCCAGGCCCCCTTCTCCTTTGTAGGAGCTTTTTATCCCAGTGACAGTGTGACAGCTGTATAATCGGGCATGTCTCGTCTGCTGCCCTTGCTGGGCTGGAAACACTCTGTAGGCCACATCCCCGGCACTGTGCTTAGCACCTAGTGAGTGCTGGTAACTGTTTGCCCCTCCTGGCTTAGCTGACCCTTGTGAACTGTGAGGCTTTGACGTTGGATCTGAGCCGTGCTTGTCTGGAGCAGGACTCAGAAAGAGCTCCCGTGAGCTGTCTCTGAAGAAGGGATAATAGGACCTATTTCCCTCCACTTGGTTGGGAGAAATCAGCCAGATCAGATGTGTAAAGCTCTTAGCCTAGTCCCCGCCCAGGGTAAGTTTGAGGCACCACGCACACTCCCCTCCCCCAAGGCTGGTCCGAGGCTGCTTGGCTATGTGTCCCTCTCAGGTGTAAGCCCAGGCATGTATCTGGGTTCAGCAGACCGTAGCTGCTCACGGGGTGGGGGTGGGGACGGGGACGGGGGTGGGGGAGTCTCTGCCCTTTCCCAGCTGGCAGAGTGACTTCGCAGGTGTCTGTCGCTGAGTCCTGGGGCTGCAGGCTGTGCACAGGATACCAGGGCTAAAGGCCGGGGCTACTCCAAGAGGCTGAGTTTAAATCTCAGACAGACTGGCCCCCTGTCATCTGGTACTTAACCTTTGGAACCTTAGTCTTTCCTCGGGTGCAAAATAGAGATCCCCACCCCCACCCCAAAACTGATGAAGATTAGATGGAAACTGTGTACAAGTGCCTAAGCGAATAGAAGGACTAACCTTTAGCAAGCACTTAAATTCGGAGCCAGGCACTGAGCTCTGAGGTGGTTATCCTCTTTTCACAACTTGCCTGGAACCCTCCCAGAGGGCTGACTCCTTAGTGTTCTTGCTGCCCTGAGGGACCCCCTCAGTTGGAACTATAGGAGCAGTAACCGGTGATCTTCCCTCTGCCCCTACTAGCCGTGTTATTGTGGTAGGTCACCTTCCCCCTCTGTTTCCTTTCTTTAATCTATAACCTGGGGTGAGGGAGAGGATTTTCCTTTAACATGTGTGCTGAAACTGCACTGTCCAGTATGGTAGCCCTTAGCCACATGTGGCTATTTACATTTTGATAACTTTTGAAAACTAAAATTCAGGTTTTAGTTGCACTAGTGACATTTCAAATGCTCAGCCCCCATGGCTAGGGGCTACCATCTTTGACATGCAGATAGACTGCCCCTTCATTGCCGAAAGTTCTGTTGGACTGCTCTGTGCCAGACACTGGGGTTAAAAACAGGGAAGTAGTTCCAGTGTGCACCCTCAAGGTAAGAAACGGTGCAGGATGACAGGTGCTGTGATTGGGGGTACTGGATCTCGGGGGATATGGGCAGGGGAGAAGGAGCTCCTCAATCCTGGTGACCCCCAGATGCAAAGCCTTGGGGCTGCTGAGACCTTGAGAAGTTCAGAGAATGGGAATAGTGTCTGCTGTTGAAGAAACCTGGTTTGGATCCCAATTTTGCTACCTCCTTGGCTGAGTGACTAAAAGTGACTCTCTCTGAGCCCTCCTCCTCATCTGTAAAACAGGCATCTTAGTAGTAGTTCTTGCCTTAAAGTGCGTGTGAAATACAAGCTTAGCCAATGGTAGTCATGGTTGTTATCTACCATCATCATCATCATCATTATTATTATTGTTGTTGTTGACTCCCTGTCCCAGGGAACAGGGGAGAGCTGATTCAGAGGCATCATCTCTTGGCATCTCCTGCCCTGTCTGCTTCCTCTGAAGTTCTGGGTGTCAAGGTCAGAGAAGCATTCCTAGTATCAGAGCACTGGTTAGAATCTACTTGGACTTGCCTTCAAAGCTTTGCAATTTCTGTTCTGAGTGGAATGCTGGCCCTGCTGCCTAATCAATTCATTTAGATATTTGATATTTAGATATCAGCTCAAAAGTTACCTCGTCCTGGCTCAGTGGTTTTCTCTGTCTACTCGGCCTACAAGATTGCATATCACCCACCCCGACCCCATCATTGCTTTATTTAATTTACTTCATATAATCTATGATTTGAAATCCTAGTCATAATTTGTTTATTTGTGATTATAAATTCTGTGAAAGCTGAGACTTTGTCTTTTTACTCCTGTACTGTTGCTACCCAAAATGTAGACATCAAAAACATTTGTTGAATGCACAGATTAATTTTGGCTCCACCTGGAAAGCTCTTAGCCCACTGCCTTACAAACCCTGGCTATAAACTATGCTGTGCCCACCCAATGAAATTATAATTGCTGGAGGCAGAACCTTATTGTTAATCTTCACCTGGGGATATTTTCCCATTGATTTTATAGAGAGTGGAAGAGAGAGGGAGAGACAGAGAGAAACACTGATGTGAGAGAAACACATCTATGGGTTGTCTCCTGTATGCGCCGGACCAGGGCAGGCCCGGGCTTGGGCCCAGGCAGGAAAGGAGCCTGCAACCAACATGCCTGCCCTTGACCAGAATCAAACCCAGGACCCTTTGGCTCACCGGCTAATATGCTGTATACTGAGCCAGACCGGATGGCGCACACTGGTATTTTGTAAAAGCTTTCAAAGGGACTCTGGAGTATTGCTTGGGTTGAGATGTCATTGTTTGAAAAATGATAGCTGATTTCTATTCAGTGCTTACTGTGATAGAGGTACAGAGGTGAGGGCATTATCTCATTAAATCCTTATAACTACCCAGTAAAAGCAGGTACTATTAGCCATTATTAGTTGAGGAAACTGAGGCTCACATAGGTAGGAGGTGGTGGAGATGTCATTGGAGCCTAGGCAGTTGTCAGAGCCCCTAACTTTTACTGTACTCGATCCTCATCCTCATCAGGGCTGACAGTGTTGTTGGATCCAGACTTATCACCTAAGACCCACAGGTGACAGCTCGTGGGGCAGACCTTAGAGTGAAATGGGACTCCCAGGGCTGTTCCCTGTACCTCGCTAGCACTCTAGTGGGCCTTCTATCCCCCCAACCCCCAAACCCCAGTTCCACCCTGCCCTTCCCCACCCCACCTGGCTGTGGTTTTCTCTCTGTCCTCACGTCCCCTGAGGGGGAGGCCCTTTTTGTGGAGTCAGCAATTCTTATCTCCCACACAGAGCTGTTAGGCTTTTTCTCTTTGGTGAGGGAGGAGGGGAAGCTGGAACAGGAGTGCTTGGGGCTTCTGGTGGTTTCTATGCTAGACTTGGACCCGCCTGGCCTGGTAGCTCCCAGAAGTGTGGGCTGAAAGGGACCTGGGTTATCAGCCCAGCTATCGTCTCTGTCCCAGAGAGTTTAGGTTACTTTCTCAGGGGCACACAGCAAGTTAGTGGCAGAATTATTCACATGGGGACTTCCAGGTCCCGTTGTTCTTTCCCTGTCCGCTTTCAGAGCCCCGACTCTGCCTTCCTCAGGGGCGTTTTGACCCTCTGAGAAGGAAGGTGCAGTTATTTAGTTCCTGGAAAGGTAGGTCCATTGCTAATAAGTCTGGATTTTACTGAGATGGGGAGAGTTATTTCTGTTTCTGTCCAGTGAAGGTATAACTGCTTTGGGTAATGTTTCTCACTCTCTCTTTTAATCCTCACTCAAAAATTTTCCATGATTTTTAGAAGAGTGAAGGGGCCGGGGAGAAACAGAGAGAAAGAAACTATTGATGTGAGAGACACATTAATTGGTTGCTGACCAGGGCTGGTGTTTGAGCCTGCAGCCAAGGTACATGCCCTTGACTTGAATCATATCCGGGACCCTTCAGTCTGCAGGCCAATCTCTGAGCTAAACCGAATAGGGCCGGGTAGACTCTTTCTGAGGCCAGGCCAGTGCTGAGAGTCCCCCTTGCAGTTACTAAAGCAAATGAATAAGTAAAACATCCTCTGTGAACCTCACCTCTAGGCCTAGGAGCAGATTTAATGAGCACATCATTGGTGGTTTCCAAAGAAGCTCCAATATGTGCATGTCGGAAGAGCTGCTGCTGTCAGCCACGCATGCCCTGTGCCTCTGTGCTTTCTTTGTGTTCTTAATTCATAGCTAGTATGAATGACCTGGCCCCGCTGTCCACAGAAAGTGATCTGGCAGTAGGGAGACCTAATTCACACAAGTTAGAAGACAATGTTTTCAGAAGCAAAAGCACTGGGAACGAGGGATCACAGAGGAGGGTCTGAAAGAAGTTTCCCTGGCCCTGGAAGACTGTAAAAGTTAGCTCTGCAAAAGGAATGGCTAGTGGGAGGACTGGGCCGGATTCCCTCTAACTTATCTCAAAGGTAAGGGAGGTGGAGACAGAGTTTTAAGCCAGTTGATCAGATTTGCACATAACGTTGACTCTGGCGATAGAAAGGTTGCCCTCTTTAGAAACCACCAAGGTCACATACTAAGTCTGCTCCTATTCCAAGAGTTGGTGCTCAGGGGGCATTTTTTTTTAAAAAAATATATATTTTATTGATATCTTACAGAGAGGAAGGGAGAGAGATAGAGAGCTAGAAACGTCTATGAGAGAGAAACATCGACCAGCTGCCTCTTGCACACCCCCTACCGGGAATGTGCCCACAACCAATGTACATGCCCTTGACCAGAATCGACCCTGGGATCCTTCAGTCCACAGACTGACGCTCTCCCACTGAGCCAAACCGGTTTCGGCAGGGGGCATGTTTTATTTATTATTATTTTTTTGTTAATTTGGTAGAGGAATGGGTAGGGTAGGGCAGGGAGATCATTGGTGAGCCTGTAGTTGGTAGTCCAGACAAGAGATGGTAGCGGTCTGAGAGGTGGTGATGGTGAGAGGGATGAAGAAATGACCATTTGAGAGACTGCAGCTGCACCCTGGGAATCTCGGTAACCTGGTTTCCGGATGTAAGTGAGGGGGTTCTTGCATGGATTCTCCGGGGCTTCCAGGAAGGTGGTCTCCTGGAGATGTGCAGGATGGTGGCTGTGTACTCCCCTTTCCCAGGCCCTCCCTACCCCGCACTGGGCTCCTGAGTCCCTGCCCAGTTTCTGAGGAGCCCAGCCTGTGGGGCAAGCCCTCTGTTTGCTCTCTCTCCACCCACCAAACGGGTGCGTATCTCCCAAATGACTCCTCCGGGCAGGTTACATCAGAAAGGAGGTTTTCAAATTCACTGTAGTCCCCTGGGTAAGAGAAAACCAGAGAGCACTTTCCTTTTCCTCCCCTCTTGAACCTCCAACTAACCATGCTGTGTTTCCTTCTAGGAGCAGAGGATGAGGTGGGCTCGGGGGGGCCCTCGCGGGCCCAGCGCCTTCATCCCCGTGGAGGAGGTAAGCCTGGAAGGGTTAGGAATTGTTGGTCGCTGGGAAGTCGGAACATGGAACACTGAGTTGGTGTCTCTTGAAATAGCAGTTTTGAAGCTATCCCTTCGGGTTCCTGACTCAGACCAGCTCTAGGAAGCAGGCACATTAACCCCATTTTGCTGGGAAGGAACAGGCTCAAAGAGATACAGTGGCCATAGCGCAGCTAGGAAATGAACAAACGTTCGATTCCCAGAACAAGGCCTGCTTTTCCTCAAGAAGGTAGAACCATCTGTGTTTATCTTCTCATTCTTGACTGTGCATATATTAAAGTTTTATTTTACTTCAGTAGTATATGTTCATTATAAAAAACTTTCCAATGTTTCAGAATCTCCTTCTCCCCTGTGAAGTAAGCAGTGTTACTTAACCATTTGCCATTGTTTTCTGGTGTGTGTTTTCTGCCCCATACAGAACCAGGGTCATAGTTTACAGCATGTTTTTGGGGGGAGTTTATTGTTTTGCTCTGTTTTCTCACTTACTACAACAGAGACCTCTTTCACTTACTGAGTCTCATCATTCTTTTTTTCTCCATGTTTTTAGCAGATAGCAATTGGATGATTAATCTGTGTCCGGTACTGTCCTGGGTGCTGGGGACACCACAGATAATAAGACAGACAAAAATCCTTGCTGTCATGGAACTGATATTCTAGTGTGGAGTTGGTGTGTGTGGGTGCCTTCAAAGCACATGCACAGAAAATTTCTAAATAATAGTTTTCTTCTTTTTCTTTGGAAAGAACTGTTTTCTTGTCCCCTTTTCTCTCCTGAACATGTAGGCCAAGTAGTTAATGAACTGTTAACAAATGTCTAAGCCCCCAGTTCCCTCCACCCTTTGTAAATGGAAAATAAACAACCACTAGCTAGTTATTCATGTCTGCAGCCCAGAATATGAAGCTCAAGTGTTGTGCTTGTATTTTATATTTTCATTTAGAAATAACCACTCCTGCCTTAGCCAGTTTGGCTTAGGGGATAGAGTGTTGGTCTGCAGACTGAGAGGTCCCGAGTGCAATTCCAGTCAAGGGCATATGCCTGGGTTGTGGGCTCAATCCCCAGTGTGTGTGTGTGGGGGGGGGGGGGAGTTGTAGGAGGCAGCTGATCAATGATTCTCTCATTATTGATGTTTCTCTCCCTCTCCCTCTCCCTCTCCTCTCTCCATTCTCGGAAATCAAAAAAGAAAGAACCACTCCTCTTAAAATAAAGAAAAGAAATAGGCTTTGGGGTCAATCTGGATTTGAATCCTGGTTTTGTCATTTACTAGATCTGTAACCTTGAGCAAGGAATGAAACTTCTCTGGGCCTTGATTTCCTCGTCTGTCAGTGGAGGGAAAGTAGTGTTCACCGCACAAGATAATGGGGAAAAACCAATGAGGTAATGCAGGGGACGCTCTAAACTCAGCCCTCGGCGGAGATAGCACTCGGGAAGGCTCAGCTATTTTGCCCCCACTCTCCTTGGCTGTGCAGTTTTGCACTGTTAAAACCGAAGCTCCATGAAGGCCAGAGATAACTGTATTTTCATCTCTGTGCCTGAGTTTTTCTATCTAAAAATGGAGAATAGAATTATCTCATACTTGTAAGAATTAAATGAGTAAATACATATAAAGTGCTCAAACAGTGCTTGGCACCTGGTAAGCATTATCAAAGTATTGGTTATTATTATGTAAGATATTTGGTAAGTATTTGATCACTTAATGAAATACCTTTTACTCTCTGACTCTCTTTTGGGACACGGTTGTTTTCAGTTTCTTGCTATTATAATCCCGCTGTAATGAATGTGCTGGTCTCTTTGGGAGGAAGGACGAGAGCGGAACCCATCCTCTCCTCACCTTTGCTTGGCAGGTCCTTCAGGAGGGAGCTGAGAGCCTCGAGCAGAACCTGGGGCTGGAGGCACTGATGTCCTGTGGGCGCGTGGACAACCTGGCAGTGGTGATGGGCCTGCACCCTGACTACCTTAGCAGATTCTGGCGCCTGCACTACCTACTGCTGCACACAGATGGGCCCCTGGCCAGCTCCTGGCGCCACTACATTGCCATCATGGTGAGCCTGTCTGACCCTGAGTCTCCTAGGGTGGCCACCTGGTGGGGGGTTCGGTCCCCAGATCTCTTAGCTGGGGACTTTCCGAACTGATTCCGTAGATGATGAGGAGGAGAAAGCCCTGGCTTTATTTGACTACAGAATTTTAAAAAAGAGGCATCTTTAGTGCCTGTGCCACAGCTTGGGAAACTGGGGCATAAAGGAGTAAATGACCTGCCCAAGGTCACAACAAGCCAGTGGCAGAGCTGGGGTTAGAACCCAAATTCCCTGCCTCTCAAGCAACAATGAGATCTAGGATGTCACCTTCCACGGGGTACTCGCGCTGAATGGGGCACAGAGAGAATAGCATGACCTAAGCTCACACTATGTGTGCCCTTACCTCCATAGGCTGCTGCTCGCCACCAGTGCTCCTACCTGGTGGGCTCCCACATGGCCGAGTTTCTGCAGACTGGCGGTGACCCGGAGTGGCTGCTTGGCCTCCACCGGGCCCCTGAGAAGTTACGCAAGCTTAATGAGATCAACAAGTTGCTGGCACATCGCCCATGGCTCATCACCAAGGAGCACATCCAGGTACAGTGGGTAGAGATACAGGTCCCCGAGGCAGCACAGGGGCTGGGCTGGGGTCTGGCAGTCAGCCCGGGGGCAGGCACTGAGCACGTCTGGCCTTCTTTCCTCTCCAGGCCTTGCTGAAGACGGGTGAGCACAGCTGGTCCCTGGCGGAGCTCATCCAGGCCCTGGTCCTGCTCACCCACTGCCACTCACTGGCCTCCTTCGTGTTTGGCTGTGGCATCCTCCCCGAGGGGGACCTGGAGGGCAGCCCTGTGCCCCAGGCACCTTCACCCCCCAGCGAGCAGAGCAGCCCCCCCAGCAGAGACTCACTGAACAATTCCGGGGTAAGTCACCGGCCCGGGATGGGGGGTGGGGGGTGCATGCGGAGCTGGCATGGCCTGTTGTCCCTAGACAGAAGCCACTGCTTCACCGCCTCCCAGAGATAAGCCTTAGAGAAGTTGTTTGACTTTGAAGTTCCACTTCCTCATCTATCCGGTGAGGACAAAGACCACTGCTTCATAACGAGCTGTGAGGACCAGATGAAAGAACCATGTCACTGGCCCCTCAACGTGCAGCTCCAAGACTTAAAGTCTCCTGGCTTTACTGCTTTCAGAATACAGAGTTTGCTGCTTATTCTGTAAGGCGGCCTTGTTTGTTTTATTTAGAAAACACAGCTATTTTAAAAGTCCCTTACCTGTGAGGGTAATTGATGCTCAGAGAAGACATGTCTGCTCTGTAGTTTTGTGTTTTTTAAATTATTGATTGATCTGAGACAGACAGAGAGAGGATCATCTATTTGTTGTCTCATTTATGCATTCATTGGTTGATTCTTGTATGTGCCCTGACCAGGGGTCAGACCCACAACGTGGTGTATCAGGATGACGCTCCAACCAAATGAGCTACCTGGGCCAGGGCTGACTCTGGAGCTTCTTAAACTTCCCCGTTCAGAAGGCCTGGCCTGTGGGAAAGGTGTGTGGACTGTCTTGGGGTAGCCGGGAGGAGCGGACTGCCATCTTCGGTCTCCCCTGCAGAGCTTCGAGGCCGCTCGGGATGTGGAGGCTTTGCTGGAGCGCATGAGGCAGCTGCAGGAGAGCCTGCTGCGGGACGAGGGAGCGTCTCAGGAGGAGATGGAGAGCCGCTTTGAGCTGGAGAAGTCGGAGAGCCTGCTGGTGACCCCCTCGGGTACGGGATCACAGGCGTCCAGGTTCTAGGGCCTGCCCCCTTCTTCTGCCACCTCTGCTGAGGAGCAGCCCCTCTGGGTGCTGCATCCCTTGTATGTTGGGGTCAGACCTCAGTTTGAATCTGCCTGTGTGAGGCTTCCTGTCCGAGGGACCACTAATAACTCACTTCCTGCTTTGGGGCCTGTCTCCTCACACATAAAGGATTGATGTGTAGGGTAAATGGAACAGAAAAGCAAAGCTCTTCACACGGAGCCCAGCCCAGCATGCGTGGCTCCATAAATAACTACTGCTGCCATGACTGTTATTATTACTGGGGCCTCAGCCCTGGGCCTGACTCGCCCCCTCCCATTGGAATCCTGGCTCCACTCGCGGTAGGGAGGAGCTCTCTCTGGCCTTAGACTGCGTGGCCTGGCCCCACTCTGATGGTTCCTCAGGAGTGAAGATCTCTGAGCCCCATGCCTTGGCCTCACGGTGACCTCTTTCTCATATTCTCAGCTGACATCCTGGAGTCCTCTCCACACCCAGACATGCTGTGCTTCGTGGAAGACCCCACTTTCGGATACGAGGACTTCACCCGGCGAGGGACTCAGGCGCCTCCCACCTTCCGTGCCCAGGTGGGTCTCCCACTGGTCTGGCATTGCTCCTGATTTACAGTCAAGGAGAGGGTGGTCTGTGTGATAGAGTGGGTACCTTCTCTCCCTTGAGAGAAGTGGGAGACTCTGGATCATGAAGGGACCCATCTGTGCCCTAAGTGCATCCCTCTTGGCTTCTCCAGCCCAGACTAAGCAGTAGCTTAGATTTGTGGGGTGGGGAGGTGTGCTCCAGAGGATGGGGTCTCTCTGGCCAGCCTTGGGCCGTTTATTGATCCCTTCTCTTGTTCCTCAGGATTATACCTGGGAAGACCATGGCTACTCCCTGATCCAGAGGCTCTACCCGGAGGGTGGGCAGCTGCTGGATGAGAAGTTCCAGGCAGCCTACAGCCTCACCTACAACACCATGGCCATGCACAGCGGAGTGGACACCTCCATGCTCCGCAGGGCCATCTGGAACTACATCCACTGCGTCTTCGGCATCAGGTAGGCACACGTCTCCTCATCCAGGACGTGTGTGCACTGCACGTCCTGAGACTGCACTCACAGTGGTTTCCTTTTTTTGTTTTTTTCTTTTCCTTTCTTTCTGCCTATGCTATTTTTCAAAACAAATTTTTTTCTTTGCTGATTACAAAAGATAATAAATGTGCTTACTGTTTGAACTTTATAAATGAAACACTTTAATCCCACTCCATAGAGATAACTGTATATATAATCAGAGAGAGAGAGGGGGAGCGAGAGAGAAATACCAGTGATGAGAGAGAATAATTGATCGGCTGCCTCCTGAATGCCCCACACTGGCCAAGAATCAAACCGTGATTTGGTTCATAGGTAGATGCTCATCACTGATCCACGCAGGCTGGGCTATGACCTTTTTCTATATTGCTTCTTTTCTTTCTTATGTAATTGCTTTTGTATAGTTGAAATTATAATTTCATTAAAAAATATATATATATATTTGATGTTTGTAAAAAGATGCAGCCTGATTTTTAGTAAATTTAGAAAACATAACAAAAAGAAGAAAATAAAAACTATCCATGATAACCATCCTTTCCTCTTCTTGTCAAGTATTTCCTTCCTGTCTGTTTTCCATGAACAAATAACCAAAACATACATATAATTTTATGAAAACAATATTTTCTTGCGTGTCACTTATTTTACTTAATCAGACATGAGCACATTTTAGTGAACCATGATTCTTTTCTCACTTTTCTCATTTAACAGTTTAGTTCAAGCATCCAAAAAAAAAAAATCCCCCAGTTTTTAGAAGGGCATAAATGTGAATCATATTTCACTGGGTTAATCATATTTCACTGGGTGGGTTGAGTTGTACTTAATTGGCTGCCATCCCGCTGGTCATTGTCAGGTTTCTAACTCAGAGAAGGCCAAGGATGGATAGGCACGGCTAGTTCCTGCCCAGCTCTCACGTCCAGGATCTTCCATTCTCCAACATGATCCTTAATCTGGTACCTTGTCTACTGCCTGTCTTCCAGTTTTTAGCCCGTCTTTCCCATCCAGTTCGATTTGAGATGACTCACTGGCTCACAGGACTGGCGAATGAGAAAGTAGCTTCTAGACTGCTCACCAACTTGCTCTTTGACTTGAACAATTTAATTGTCTTCTCCAGGCCTTAGTTTGCCCATCTATAAAATTAGTACCAGCTCCCTTTTTCCCTTTCCACCTCCCTTATCCGGGGAAAATACTTGCACTCACCTCCTGTCCCATCTCCCATGGCCTTTACTGCTAAGTAGTAAATATGACCTTGGAGCCAGGTAGAACTGAAACCCGTTCCCACCTGTGTGACCTAGGACAAGTGACTTCACTTCTCTGAATCTCAGTTTCATCTACAAAACGAGGCTGATGAATACAGCATACTGTATGTAATAGCTTTGTATACAGTAGTGTACAATAGTTTTAAGAACTCCTTGAGTATATGTTCACATGGTACGTAGTTGATACCAAATAAGGCATGCTTATTCTCTATCCATTCCTTGGTCTATGATATATGACATCAGCTATTTTTCTAAGAGGAACCAAGCTTCTAGTTGCTTCCTCCCTTCTGCCTTTTCTTGCTGCTCTCTGTTCCTTCTTTCACAGGGTGGGGCTGGAACAGGGGAGCCAGTTCTGGAAGCTGAGGGTGAGTGGTGTGTTGGGCCTTTTCCTCCAGGTATGACGACTATGACTACGGGGAGGTGAACCAGCTCCTGGAGCGGAACCTCAAGGTCTATATCAAGACAGTGGCCTGCTACCCAGAGAAGACCACCCGGAGGATGTACAGGCTCTTCTGGAGGCACTTCCGCCACTCGGAGAAGGTACGGAGGCGGGGGGACTGGACAAGCCCGGCCAGGAGAGGGCAAGGGGTCGACCCAGTGAGGTAGCCAGACTGAGTCTGCACTGCCAGGTAGAATACCTGAGTATATGGTATTGGGTTTAAGTACTCCTCCACAAAGTGATTTCAGACTCCACTGACTCGCCCATAAGATGGGAATGTGCTTTGCAGGGTCCTCCATGGCAGCCAGCAGGATCTGGGTTGAAATCATAACGCTGTCACTCAGTAGAAGTAGAACCTTGGGCAAGTCGAGCCTTTTTACTTTGACAATGGGAATAAACACCACCCGCATTTCGATTGCTGGGAGGATGAGATGGGAAAATGAATGTCAACTTCCAATCCCGAAACCGTGCTCAGTGGCAGCTCTTACTTTAGCTTTGGGGGATAAAGAGATGAGTCACAACAAGGATGAAGATGCTTGAAATTCCTGAGCAGTCCTTGCCCCACAGCGCTCAGAGCCTTAGGAAATAGAAGGATTAGATGAGTGGTCAGGGGTGGCGGCAGCGTGGGAGGGATGGGGACGGCGAGGACCGACGTCCTTTGCTGACAAGCCCTCCTCTGTGCCCCAGGTCCACGTGAACTTGCTGCTCCTGGAGGCCCGCATGCAAGCCGCCCTGCTCTATGCCCTCCGTGCCATCACCCGCTACATGACCTGACTCCCACACAGGACCTGGGCCCGGAGCCGCTAACTCTCGAGGCACCCTCCTCTCTGCAAGAACTTCTCTGTCCGGAGACAGACCCAATCCCTTTCTGCCCCACGCCCACCCGCCACACTCTGGGGGTGGGCTTTTGTGTGAGGTGCAGCCCCCGAGCCACACCCTACAGTTTCTCACTGAAGGACAGGATCTCTGGGATCTCAGCGTTGGCCCTGGGAGCTGGAAGAGGACTAGCAGATCGCCAGGGGCCGTGCCCTCTTCCTACCCCTGAGCCCAGAGGCAGAGGCACAGGAAGTACAATGGGCCGAGTTCGGATTTATGTACCTCCAGGTTGGGCCCACCACAAGCACTGTGGCTGGAAAGGTCCCCACTGGCCCCGGGGGGAGAGGGGCAAACACCGCCAGGGACTGACACTCCGAGCAGCTCTCCTTTTCCTCCGTCATCCGATTCCATTCCCTCTCATCTGCCATTAACCCATCAATGTGAAAGTCAGGGTCACAGCTGGCCTGTGCGTCCGCCTCCCCAAAAACCTCTTCAAAGCCCCTTGTTTCCTGATGGCCCCAATCCTATTTCATTTCCTTTTCTCCCACGCCTGGTGGTGGTGAGGCCCCGGGAGAGACGAAGCACATTAAAAAAGTAGACTATCTCTAGAGAATTTAAGTAGCTTTTTGGTCACTTTGCCTTTTGAAGTGTAGGGAGTATTCGATTATAAATCCTCTGTATTTTGGTCCTTTATGGATGAAGTCCAAACCTCTTCAGGGCCTCACCTCTAAAGGTGTGAGCAGGAGGAGGGGGCAGTCTGTTCTCCTCAGAGCTCGCACCTCTTCTGTCTCCCGGGCTCCACTGCGGATATTTGCCAAAACCTCGATCCTTTCTCGGTGGCACGTGGCCCAGTGGGAGAGCTCGGAGACCCCAGGGTTGTTCGGGCCCTGCCACTGGCCAGGGGGCCATGGCTATGTTGCCAAACCTCCTTGACCCCCATTTCCTCCGTTTCAGACTAGGGAAGGACACTTTTCATGCCTGGGTTTCTCAGGCCAACCTGCCAGCAGTGAACTGCACATCGAGCAGGATTTGGAAGGTCCTCCGGGACTCCCACTCTTGCGGTCAGTCTCCCGGCTGCCTTCCAAGGACCACCCAGATTCTGTCCCCTCTCCTCAGTTTTAGGTGGATTACTTAGAGGCAGGAGCAGCCAAGGACTGACCCCAGGCACTTTCTATAGCAAACAAGCTGTGAATTACGACTTCCTAGCCCTTCTTCAGGCAGTACGTGCCTCCTCTCCTCTCTGGCCGGTGAGGAGGGGACTGAAGAAGGGCGAGGGCCAACATGCTGCTTGCTTCTGACCCTCCTCGCTGGGGTGGGGCAGGAAAGGAGCCTGGTCGGTGGGCCACATTTCATACCCATGCGGGCATGGGGAAGCGACTGGCACCCTCAGACCTCCCCGCCCTCCCACAGTGACGCTGGGCAGGAGGGAAGAGGTCCAGCCTGGGTTTGGAGTCTGGAGAGGACAAGATGGCTGTAAATGTTCTGTGGGTGGACAGGGAGGGGTATTCAGTGTTCAAGTGCAGAAGTCTTTGGCTTTCCTACCAGTTCTGTATAATGAGAAATAAAAGTTCACCAAGGTTTTGTTTTGTACTGCTTGTTAATGGGCTCTTTTTTTCTGTTAACTAAGGTTCATGGTTCACCTCTTAGCAGGAAGTTGTGATTGCATCATGGACTTGACCTGCTAGCCCCAACCCTACTGGGCACTTGTGCCCAGTGATGGCATGATTGGGAGTGGTTGGCATTGAAACTTCTGTACCTTCATTATCTAGTCCTTTCACCCATTTGTAGCGGGCCAGGCACTATGGAATTACAATGGCATGTTTTTTTGTTTGTTTGTTTTTTTCACTAAACCTGGCCCTTGACTGGGTACTTGGAGGCCATTTCTCTGAATCTGCGAGGGAATTGGGACAGAGGTAGTGACATTGCTGAGAACATGTGGTTAGTAAGGGGGGAAGCCCCATTCCGGCTGGGGGCTGCTTGACCCTCAGGCCTGGGCATTTAGCCTTCCTATTTTTTCCACTATTAGGCTCCCCTATGGCAGAGGCGGACTGTTTGAGAATCTCTGGGGTCCCCCTTCTGTCCCCTGCCCCACCACATTATGCTTATCTGCTTCTCATCCTTCCCTCTTTAGCACCAAGGAGATAGAACTGGGCATAAGGGAGAGAGATGTGACTCCCTAGCCCCAGGCTGTGCCAGTGCCATTTTGTAGCTTTTGAACTCGGATCATGACTAAGAGTTAAGCCCTCTCCTGCTGTCTTCCCCCCTTGCCTTCAAAAATGAAAATGACCTCCTCCAGGAAGCCTTCCCTGACTGACTTCATGTTCCCTTTTCTTTCTACCCTTTTCATTTTTGCAGTGTTCTCACATTTGTTCTTCCTTCTACAGTCATTTAAGAGCATGTGAAAGTAAATAAGATCTGGAGTACAAAACTTGGATCTGGACTGACTCAGTCACTTACCCTGGGGCGAGGGGATGCAGGGAGGTGTCAATCAACTGCCTCAAGTTTCCTCTCCCATGAAAACAGCGTTTTCTCTTCCAGGTAGCACCACGTAGTGACTGTTGTCAGAAGTATTCAAATTTAATCTCTTTTTTCATACTTACCCGGGGTTCACAAACTTTTTGTGCTTCGGAATCTCTTAAAGGACAGTGGTTGGAGGTGGAGCTCAGAAACTGGCGTCTCTAACAGCTTCCTGGTGTGCTGATGCCCAGACCATGCTTTCACTCAGTAGATGTTGTGTGCACACAGTATGTAAATGTCCTGGACACAGAACAGTGGACAAAACAGGCACGGTTCCTGCTCCCGTGGCATTTGCTGTCTAGTGCAGGAGACAGACGTTGGATCATTACACAACTAATTATGTCATTGTGATGGGCACCTCCAAGGAGAAATACAAGGTGCTTAAAGAGCATTTACAACCTAACAGCAGAGCTTTTTCTTCCAATGAAACACGTTGGACTTTTGCAGACACTAAAACACACCCAAGAAGACCAGTTTCCCACCCAATGAAGCACCTTGGAGCCCAAGGGCTCCGTGGAACAGTTGGAAAACTACATTCCTCCAGTGGGTGCTGTGGTGAGCATCCAAGACGTGTCTCTCCTTCCTTCCCCCTCCCCCACTCAACCAGGAAAAGCCTCAGGGGAGGCCCTCTCTGGCTGCCTAGCTCATGGCTATGCCCCTTCAGGCATTCTGCCTCCATGACTGACTGGAGGGACGAGTCTACAAAGGCCTGGCCCCTTTACCTCCATTGGAACAACTCGAAGGACTCTCCCAGCTCCAGTGCTCCCTTCGGGACCAGCAAGGCCTCCACTGCAGCCCCATTTCTTCTGTCAGCCCTGTTTCCCACTTCCTATGACATTGGCCTCCAGTGTGTACCCCCTGTGTGCAAATTTCCATCTCAAGAGTCTGCTTACCAAGGAAGGTACTTGACCTAAAACACTCTCATATTACAGATGGTGAAAATACAGACCAGAGAGGGGAAATGACTTGCTTGAGGCCACACCTGGGCCTTCAGATCCTCCTCAAAGTTTGTCACCACTCTGCGTCAGTCCTACAACTTCCTGTCTTTACTTCTCTTCCTGAGGTTGGAGGCAACAGCTGCAATGCTGGAAAGGCCATCCCCACGCTCACGGCTGGAGACCTTGGGCAGATCACTTCCCCTCTCCGGGGACGTTAAATATGTGCTGCCCGAAGGCTCCTGGTCTCTCAAGTCCGCCTGTGCGTGGTGCCCCTGCTCCTGAGAAAAACCATGGCTCAGCTGGTTCCAGCAGCAGCAATTCTCCCCGTGTCTGAGTCACCGCTGACCTCACTGTTGGTTCCGGCTGCGGGGAGCCATGAGCTTCAGTCCCAGTTCTGAGCAGCTAAACTCGCATGTCAAGAAGGAACCCCTTTTCTTTTTCCTTTTTTAAAAAAATATACCGTGCCGAAACCGGTTTGGCTCAGTGGTAGAGCGTCGGTCTGCGGACTGAAAGGTCCCAGGTTCGATTCGGGTCAGGGGCATGTACGGTGGTTGTGGGCACATCCCCGGTAGGGGATGTGCAAGAGGCAGCTGGTCGATGTTTCTCTCTCATCGATGTTTCTAGCTCTCTATCTCTCTCCCTTCCTCTCTGTAATAAATCAATAAAATATATTAAAAAAATATATATACCGTATTTTCCGGCATATAAGACAACCGGGCATATAAGAGGACCCCCTAATTTTACAGTTAAAACAAAGGTTTAGGCCTATATTTGCTGTATAAGACTACCCCCCACTTCCGAGGCAACACCAGTTCTTTTTTTAATAGACGGCCTCTCTGACTCTGGCCAATCTGAGCAGGCTTTTTTTCCTTTCAAAAGTCATTTTATACGCTGGAAAATACAGTATTTTATTGATTTTTTCTAGAGAGAGGAGAGGAGAGATAGACAGCTAGAAACATCGATGAGAGAGAGACATCGACCAGCTGCCTCCTTCACACCCCACCCCAGGGATGTGCCCGCAACCAATGTACATGCCCTTGACCGGAATCGAACCCGGGACCTTTCAGTCCACAGACTGACCCTTTATCTACTGAGCCAAACCGGTTTCGGCAGGAACCCCTTTTCTTTGTTCGTGTCGAGTGCTTGTTTTGTGCCAGACACTGCTAGATGCCGGCAGTACAGCGATGAACGAGACACACACAGTCCTGGCCCTCCTGGGCCTTAAAGTCTATTGGGAAAGATGAGCATCACACAAAACCTTGTGGTGAGTCCTGGGAGAAGAAAAGCACAGGGAGGGCCTGGCCAGTTTGGCTCAATGGATGGAGCTTCGACCTGCGGACTGAGAGGTCCCAGGCTCGATTCCGGTCAAGGGCACGTACCTTGGTTGCGGGCACATCCCCAGTGGGAGGTGTGCGGGAGGCAGCTGATAGATGTTTCTCTCTCAGTTTCTAACTTTCTGTCCCTCTCCCTTCCTCTCTGTAAAAAAAAAATCAATAAAATATATTTTTTTTTAAAGAAGAAGAGGCACAGGGAGCTATGAGAAATACAGCAGGGGAAACCCCACATTCAGAGTGAGAGTTCCCAGAGAAATACCCTGGATCTAAAATAAGACAGGATGGGAGGGAAGAGAGAAGTGCGGGACAAAGTCAAGCAGAGGAAACAGCATGGGAGAAGATGGGAGGCAGAGGAGGAGGCAGCCTGACAGGGACGGAGGGGCAGAGAGAATGTGAGAAAGGGTGAGGCTAAGGAGGAAGCCCACGGCAGGTCTGGCATGTTAAGGACTTTGGACTTTATCATATGGGCAGCGAAAAGTCTTCAAAGGAAATTGTGTTATTTATTACAAAATAGATGTTATGAACTGCTCATGTCCCCCTCCAATTCATATGTTGTAACCCCAATCCCTGTGTGCTGGTGTGTGGAGATGGGGCCTTTGGGAGGTGACTAAGGCATGATCATGAAACCCTCATAATGGGGATAAGGGCCCTTAGAAGAGAGAACGAAGAGATCTCCCCCCTCCTCTTCCTTCCCTCTGGCTCCCTTCCCTGTGAGGACATAACCAAGACAGGGCTCTTATCAGAAACTAATTGGCTGATACCTTGACCTTGGACTTCCCAGTTTCCAGAACTTTAAGAAACACATTTTTGTTGTTTAAGGCACTCACTCCAAGGTATTTTTGTTATAGCAGCCCAAACTGACTAAGACAATAGATAATATTTCTTAGAAGAAGAAGTAGACAAAGTAATAGGGCTTATTTAGGACTTATTATGAGCCAAGCACTCCACTAGGTACTTCTCAGCCAGGACCTCATGACCTCATTTAATCCAACAGCCCTATACAGTAGAGCCTATTATGATCTATTATCTCCTTTTTATAGGTGGGCATAATTGGATTCAAAAGTCCTCTCATCCAAAGAGGGTTCTCCCACCCCCTCGCCCCCAGAGCATACATTTACCTCCTTTGATCTAAGCTTACCAATTGCATCTGTGTTTCCAAGACATTTCTTTTTGTCCAATATTATAACTATTTGTGTGGCTCACTCATCTCTCCCCATTCGATTGATTGCAAGCCCGTAGAGCAGGACTGCCATGTCGTAGAGGCTGAGCAAATAAATTAGCTGTGGAGTCCTAGCCGGTTTGGCTCAGTGGATAGAGCATTGGCCTGCAGACTGAAGGGTCCTGGGTTCAATTCTGGTCAAGGACATGGACCTCAGTTGCAGGCTCCTCGCTGGCCCAGGCACTGGTCGGGGCACATGCAGGAGGCTACCAATGGATGTGTTTCTCTCACATCAATGTTTCTCTCTGTCTTTCCCGCTCTTCCACTCTTTCTAAAAAATCAAAGGAAAAATATTCTTGGGTGAGGTGTGGAATATGTTTGTATCCGCCAGGATGCCTGGTCTGGTGCTGGTCCTGGCAGCGGTGTTGCAGGAATCACAGCCTCCGCGTGCTGTGGACTCGGCCTCTGCCCGGGCTGTCTTTTCCTGGCTGGTTGTCTGTTGTGCCGCCAGCTCTCAGACACTGTGTCAGTCTGGTGTTGGTCTCGGGGGAAAAGCGTGGACTTTGGAACCAGACAGATGAGCCTCAAATCTGAACACAAGTCCATCTGGAATGAGGCAGAGTATAAATAAACAGAACCAAG